TGTTTCCAAGACTGCATCCTCAAACTCTCTCCCTGAGGGTCTCCACCCTGTCCTCCCACCTAAACCTAGAATGAGGGGACCCTGGCCTGTGGGGACCCTGGTCTTCAGGCTCCCAAACCTGGCTGGTCTGGCTGCCCCCTGGCCTTGCCCTGTGAATATCCAGCTGTCCCTGGGCTGTGATTCAGTGTCTGTCTCCCGGGTGACCTCAGCATGGGCTTTGAGGAAGGGGAGAGGGTAGTTTCTTCTGAGACTGGATAGTGACTCAGGGACCAGGGGCAGGGGCCTCAAAAGTGCCTTTGTTGGCCTGGGCTCAGGAATCCAGAGAAACTGGTCAGGAGGAGGTCCCGGTGATGAAAACCCCTCCCTCTGCCCCCGCCCCTCTGCCAGAGCCATATAACTGCTCAACCTGTCCTGAGAGAGAGAGTGCCCTGGCAGCTGTCGGCTGGAAGGAACTGGTCTGCTCACACTCGCTGGCTTGTGCATCAGGACTGGCTTTTTCTCCTGACTCACAGCGCAAAGGAGCTCTCTGTGAACGTTAAGTCCGTCCCCAGCGCTTGGAATCCTACGGCCTCCTCAGCCGGATCCCCTCAGCCTTCCAGGTCCTCAACCTCCGCGGACGCTGAGCGATGGCCTCCATGGGGCTACAGGTGACGGGCATCGCGCTGGCCGTCCTGGGCTGGCTGGCCGTCATGCTGTGCTGCGCGCTGCCCATGTGGCGCGTGACGGCCTTCATCGGCAGCAACATCGTCACCTCGCAGACCATCTGGGAGGGCCTGTGGATGAACTGCGTGGTGCAGAGCACCGGCCAGATGCAGTGCAAGGTGTACGACTCGCTGCTGGCGCTGCCGCAGGACCTGCAGGCGGCCCGCGCCCTCGTCATCATCAGCATCATCGTGGCCGCTCTGGGCGTGCTGCTGTCCGTGGTGGGGGGCAAGTGTACAAACTGCCTGGAGGATGAGAGTGCCAAGGCCAAGACCATGATCGTGGCGGGTGTGGTGTTCCTGTTGGCCGGCCTGCTGGTGATAGTGCCCGTGTCCTGGACGGCCCACAACATCATCCAAGACTTCTACAACCCGCTGGTGGCCTCCGGGCAGAAGCGGGAGATGGGTGCCTCGCTCTACGTCGGCTGGGCTGCCTCCGGCCTGCTGCTGCTTGGCGGGGGGCTGCTTTGCTGCAACTGCCCACCCCGCACAGACAAGCCTTACTCTGCCAAGTATTCTGCCGCCCGCTCTGCTGCTGCCAGCAACTACGTGTAAGGTGCCACGGCTCCACTCTGTCCCTCTCTGCTTTGTTCTTCCCTGGACTGAGCTCAGCACAGGCTGTGACCCCAGGAGGGCCCTGCCACGGGCCCCTGGCTGCTGGGGACTGGGGACTGGGCAGAGACTGAGCCAGGCAGGAAGGCAGCAGCCTTCAGCCTCTCTGGCCCATTCGGACACCTTCCCAAGGCCGCCTCCTGCTAGCAAGAACAGAGTCCACCCTCCTCTGGATATTGTGGAGGGACGGAAGTGACAGGGTGTGGCAGTGGAGTGGGGAGCTGGCTTCTGCTGGCCAGGATGGCTCAACCGTGACTTTGGGCTCTGCCTGCATCGGTGTTGGCCACTGTCCCCATTTACATTTTCCCCACTCTGTCTGCCTGCATCTCCTCTGTTCCGGGCAGGCCTTGATGTCACCTCTAGGACTGTGCCTTGCTCACCGAAACCCGCACCCAGGAGTATGGCTGAGGCCTTGCCCACCCACCTGCCTGAGGAGGGCAGAGTGGATGGACGGGTTTGGAGGGGAGGGGTGAAGGCTTTGTAAACAGGTTTGGGCAGTGGTGGGGGAGGGGGCCAGAGAGGCCGCTCAGGCTGCCCAGCTCTGTGGCCTCAGGACTCTGCCTCACCCACTTCAGCCCTGGGCCACTGGAGACTGATCCCCCTGAGTCCTCTGCCCCTGCCAAGGACACTAACCAGCCTGGGAGGGTGGCAGGGAGGAGGGGCGGCTTCACCCTCGGGAGTCCTGGGGTTCTTCCTCCTCCTTCTTCGTGGTTTCTGTTTTGTAATTTAAGAAGATCTATTCATCACTGTAATTATTATTATTTTCTACAATAAATGGAACCTGTGCACAGGAGGAACTTGTATTGTCTCTGATTTCAGCTGTGGAGGTGGGTGGGGCAGGGCTGGAGGCCTAGGCAGGGGGTAGGTGAGGGTCAAGGCCGCTGTGTTTTGGCCAGTACATGAACACTTAAAAAAAAAAAACGACGAGATCCAGGGAACTGTGAAAAACTGGAGCTGGGCTGGGTGTGGCGGTGAGCACCTGTAATCCCAGCACTTTACTAGGTCCAGGTGGGAGGATCGCTCGAGGCAGGAGTTTGAGACCAGCCTGCCCAACATCGTGGCGCCATCTCTCCAAAAAGTTTAAAAAATGAGCTGGGCCTGGTGGCTCATGCCTGTAATCCCTGTACTTGGGGAGGTTGAGGTAAGCGAATTGCTTGAGCCCAGGAGTTTATGAGGCCGCAGTGAGCTTTGATCGCACCACTGCACTTCAGCCTGGGTGACGGGGCGAGACCTTATCTCTTAACAACAAAAAAAAATGAAACGGGCCTCCAAGGTGTCACCTTAAAAAATAAATTAAATGGGCCTCCAACGTATCAAAGTTTTAAAAAAAAGAAATGGATCCCCAAGCCATCACCTAAAAAAAAAAAATGAGATAGGCCCCCAAGGTATCACTTTGTCCAGATGGGGGCCCTTCATTGGTTGGAGGGTAAACCCGTATACAGGAAACAGTGTATGCCTGGGACCCCAGTGAAGGGTTGGGGACCCTAGGAGGGAGGTGCCCACATACGCTCCCAGCTCTGAGGTATGGGCCACCAGCCACCCCCACCCCGCTGTTGCTCCAGTTTTGTCTGGGCAGCCAGGCTGGTCTGTTCCTCTTTGCTGAGTCACCCAGGTTCCCCTTCCCAGCCTTTGCATAGCCGGTCCCTGCTCCCAGCCTGGAATGTCCCTTTTCCCTCCTCCACCCTTCTGGATCCTGCTTGTCCTGAAAGCCCAGCTCCCAGGCGCCTCCCCCATGAAGTCTTCCCACTCTCTTGGATGGAGAAATTATTATCAGCCCTGTTCAAACCCCTGAGGTGCTGAGGGTCACCAAATGCCTTTCACCTGGAGGGCAGCCTCCAAGCCACGTCCAGAGCTCGGCATTCTGATCCCTTGATAGATGAGGGAACGGAGTGTGGCCCAGGCCCAGACCTACAGCTTGGGACTTTGGACTCCGAATTTGGGTGGGGAAGCTGTCCAGGACAGGGCTTGAGCCTCAGCAACCACTTGGGCTTGGCCTTGGCCTTGGGTCTGCCCTGCCGCTGTTGTGGAAAGGATGTTCTAAGGTTGCTCGGGCTTCATTTTCTCATTTTCTTGTCAGTAAGTTGGAGGTGAGCAGACCCAGCACCCTGGAAGGAGTGACCCCAGGAGGCCCCAGGGAGGGGTCTTCTCCATCACTTCTTGCTACTTCCCTCCCTCCCTCCCTCCCTCCCTTCCTTCCTTTCTTCCTCACCCAGCTATTTTGTATTTTTAGTAGAGACGGAGTTTTGCCATGTTGGCCAGGCTGGTCTCGAACTCTTGACCTCAGGCGATCTGCCTGCCTTGGCCTCCCAAAGTGCTGGAATTACAGGCGTGAGCCACCGTGCCTCGCTCCCCGCTTTTTTTTTTTTCTTGAGATAGAATCTCACTCTATTTCCCACACTGGAGTGCAGTGGCACAATCATAGCTCACTGTAGCCTCCAACTCATGGGCTCAAGCAATCCTCCCACCTCAGCCTCCTGAGTAACTGGGACCATAGGTGCTCACCACCACGCCTAGCTAATTAATTTTTTTTTTAGAGATGGGGTCTTGCTATGTTGTCCAGGCTGCTCTTGAACTCCTGGGCTCAAGGAGTCCTCCTGCCTTGGCTTCCCAAAGTGCTGGGATTATGGGGGTGAGCTGCTGTGCCTGGTGGGGAATTCTTGACTTAATCTCCTGGATTGAGGAGACGCCCTCCTCACCACTCACCCACACCTCTGCCGGAGGATATGACTGTGTCTGAATGGACAGGAAGAAAACCCGCATGTGGGCTTTGGATCTTGGGCTAGTCCCTTCACCTCTCTGGGCCTCAGTTTCCCAGCTGGCACAGAGGATGATTATCTAACATCACAGGAAGGCTGGTATGTGTGTTTGAAGTGCCTGACAGTAAGTGCTGGCTGAATGACCTTGTCACCTCAGGTCCAGGCACCTATAGTGTGCCCAGGGTGGCCTCAGGTGCACTGAGAAGGACAGATGGGGAAGACCCAGTGACTGGTCTGGGAAGGTTCCTGGAGGAGGGGGTAAGGAGAAGCAAGGCGTTGCTGGTAGAAGGGAGTGCGGTGAGAGGAGAGGCTCCGGAGCAGGGGAGACCGTCACCCATGGGCAGCCCAATGGGGTTGAAGGGCTTAGTAAGCACAGGTTGGTCTAGGATGTCCGATCCTGGCTGCTTCACCCAGTAGAAAGTTCCTGTCTTTTTTGGCCCAACTTCGACCTTTTCGGCTGACCTCATCCATGTCTCTGCATTTGTCAGCCTTCAGGGCTCCCCTGGATGCCTGTCCAGACCTGCCCAGGCTTAGCCACAGTCTCTGCTGGGCCTGGCAAGGGGTGCGGAGAGAGGAGGGAGAGGAAGCATTTTTCCCTCTGTGATTTCCTGTCCTGTGCCTCCTGGTTCTCATGCTCAGCCCCTCTCCTTTCTGCCTTAGGCTGTGCCCTACGTGGATTCCTCACCGGGTCTCAGAAATGCCTCTCTTCTCTACATTCTCGGAGCAGGGCCAGGCGTGGTGGCTCAAGTCTGTAATTCCAGTACTTTGGGAGGCCAAGGCGGGTGGATCACTTGAAGTCAGGAGTTCGAGACCAGTCTGACCAACATGATGAAACCCCGTCTCTATTAAAAATGCAAAAATCAGCTGGGCACGGTGGTGGGCTCCTGTAATCCCAGCTACTTGGGAGCCTGAGGCAGGAGAATCTCTTGAAGGTTGCAGTGAACTGAGATCGTGCCGCTATACTCCAGCCTTGGCGACAGAGCGAGACTCTGTCTCAAATTAGATAAATAAATAAATGAGTAAATAAATTCTGGGGGCAATGAGCACTCACGGCTCTGGTGGGGCCACCTCTGACCAGACCCTGTGCTCTCTGGCCCCTTGCTGGGCCCCAGTGGGTTGGAGATCAAGGCCCAGAGGGCAGGGTCTGAGCCCTCTGCCCAGAGCAGAGAAAAGCCCCGAGCAAGAACACAGCAGGAGACGGGAGATACACCTGCCTGGACGGCGCGATGTGTGGAGTTTACAAACAGTGCTCACAGCTCTCATCTCCCCTAAGCAGCCCTATTTCCCAGATGAGGAAACAGACCAGGAAAGAGAAAGAGACGCCCCGAAGGCAGTCCACGAATGAGTGAGGAAGCAGGCAGAGGAGGGAACAGAACTGAGCCCTCACTGTGGGCCGGGACCAAAGCAAAAGCTTTAGAGACAGGATTTCACCTGATTCTCACTTTAGTCCTATGGGGACGGGATTGTAGCATTTATACCACCTGGCTCCCGGGCTAGGAAATGGAGGCTGCAGGGGAGGGTGGAGTTGCTCCTGGTTGCCCATGGATAAGAGCCAAGTTGGCCACCTGTCTGCCCCGCCGGTTTGCGTGGGTCTGCCGTTGGTGGCTGGGATGTTAGGCTAGGCTGTATGTGGCGATGGGCAGAACGCTGCCCCTCGCTTAGCCTGAGGGACTCTGGGGCCTGTGTCTGTGCTGTGCAGAGGGGAAGGTGTATGGTGATGGGGATTGGGGGTGCTTGGCTGGGCTGCTCCTCACCTGGCTTGGTGACACATAGGAGCTCAGGTATCGCATTGCAGGGCACCTGGCCATCACTGGGGGCGCCAACTATCAGTACCATGTCGAAGGTCCCAGTGTGCGTGGGGAGGGGTGGGGACATGGTGTGATGCTTGGAAGGTGCTTTGTCTATGGTGTGGCCTCAGACCACCCTGGAGGGGACGAAGCTACCACCCGCATCTGCAGGACCCAGGTTCCCTGGAGGATAAGGTAAGTATGGCCCAGTTCTGGGCTGCAGTCAGATCATGGGGTGCAGGATTGAGTGAGGGACTGGGGGCTTAGTGTGGGAGGGGGATGGAGGTTCGGCAAGGGAAAGGGCTTTATGAGGGGGCACCGTGGGGTGTTGGGATGGGAGAGGAAGTACCTTCAGGGCCAGGCAGAGGCTCCTGGCCCAGGGTGCAGAGGCTGAGGTGCTGATAGAGGCTGCGGGCCCCGGCCTGTTCCAGCATCCCTAGGCTCCCATTCACCCCATGTAGCTGGAGGAAGCCTCGAGCCCGCAGCTGGGGTAGGGGTGGGAGACTCAGTCATGGTTCACACTTGCCACTTCCCGGTTGGGTCCCTGTGCCTTGGGAGGGCAGTGGATTCTGCACTGAATGTGGCCCATGCGTTTGCTTTTCAAAAAATTTTGAGACAAGATCTCTTTCTGTCGCCCAAACTGGAGTGCAGTGGCATGATCACAGCACACTGCAGCCTTGAATTTCTGGCCTCAAGTGATCCTCCCACCTGAGCCTCCCATGTAGCTGGGACTACAGGCGTGCACCACCCTGCCTGGCTAATTTTAAAATTTGTTTATAGAGACAGGGGTCTTGCTATGTTGCCCAGGCTGACCTCAAACTCCTGGCCTCAAGCTGTCCTCCTGCCTCGGCCTCCCAAAGTGCTGGGATTACAGGTTCGAGCCACTGTGCCTGGTCCCGTCTCATGCATTTGGAACAGTGAGTCTAAGGCACGGTGCAGGGTTCTGGGGCCAGGGACAGTAGGAGATTTGAGGAAATGTGGGGCTAAGGAGTAGGCGGGGGATCTGGAAGAGCCTCACCTCGGCAGCCACTAGGCCTGTGCCGAAGGCCACGTCCAGGATCAGGGCACTGTGGGGCAGGCTTGGAAGGGTTTGTGTGAGGCGACTGCGAGGCGGGGGGCATGGTACTGCAGGGTGGCCACATCCTGAGGAAAGAGTGCCGGGCCTACAACACCGGTGCCCTAGTGTCTGGGGGATCTCCCTTGTGGGTGGTCTCGGAGTATGCCGGGCCAAGCTGTGTGTGTTGGGGATCAAGCCTGGCTGGGGCTACTATGAGGGGATGCCCAGGCATGAGGTACTTCCCATTGCTATAGGGCCGGGACTGGAGAGTTAGCCCCCAGCCCACTGTATGGTAGACTCAGTCCTCCAGGGACCTTCTCTCCTGGCCAAGGCAGCTCTCTCTGCTGAGTCCACATGACTTCTCTCTCTCTCTCTCTCTCTTTTTTTTTTTTGAGACAGTGTCTCCCTCTGCCGCTTGGGCTAGAGGGCAGTGACAAGATCTTGGCTCACTGCAACCTCTGCCTCCCGGATTCAAGCAATTCTCCTGCATCAGTCTCCCGAGTAGCTGGGATTACCAGGCGTCTGCCACCACGTGGGCCTGGCTAATTTTTGTATTTTTAGTAGAGACAGGGTTTCACCATGCTGGCCAGGCTGGTCTCGAACTCCTGACTTCAGGTGATCCGCCCGCCTCAGCCTCCCAAACGGTTTGGGATTATAGGCGTGAGCCACCGCGCCCAGCCCTACAGTGCCTTCTCAACAGCACCTCCTCCAGGCAGACCTCATGGCCCCTGATGGTGCTGCCAATCCAGAGCTGTGGGGCGGGTTCTGGAAGGGGCAGGACTGTAGGGTTCTTAGCCAGGCCTCACTTCATTCTCACAGCCGCCCCCGGGTGCAAGGCTGATTCCCCACTTTACAGGTAGAAAAATGGAGGCTGGTCTAGTGGAGGCAAGGACCCAGATGAGTTTACCTGGTGGTAGTGAGGAGTCCGCGGTCATAGAAGTGGAGCTTTGGGGCCAGTTCGGGGATGCCATGCGCGGCCCCGACCCGCGCCCGCACCTCGGGCAGGCTCCCACCCTCCTCCTGGGCCATGCTGCTGCGGGGACACGGCTGCCCTGTCTCGAAGTCCACCTCAATCACCCATCCCCTCCTTTCCCCCTTCCCTCCTCCCCCTGCAGAGGAGGCTGCCAGACCACCAGCGCGACCCCTATCCCGGCCCCTATCCCAGATGGCGACACTGAGCGCAGAGAGGGCGGGCTTGGATATTTACACTCTGGGGCTGCAGGGCTCGGGGAAGGGGCAGGGTGCCCCGCAGCTGGAGGAAGGACCTGTCTTCCTCTTTCCCGCCCTCCGACTGGGAGAGGGTCGGAGGTGGGCGACATCCGGAGCAAAAGGGTCTCGAAGGAGGCCGGAGTCAGAACTCACCGCCAATCGAGCGCGCCTGGCGTGGGCACCTGTACTCCGGGCTGGGCCTGTGCGGCGATCCTGGCCACATCCTCAGCACCAGCCCGCAGTGATTGGCTTTCCGCCAAGAGAAAATAGCCAATCAAAGGAAGGCGCTGGCAGCCCGCCCCCTACCGCCAGCCAATGAGCTCAAGGCTTGTGGCCCTCTTCCAGCCTGGGTGGAGCAGGGACTGCTGAGACGTTTCCTGCTGTGCGGGTTTAGGGGCTTCTCCGTGGTCTGGCCCCGGCCTCCCCCTCCACCGTCAGGTAGCAGCACCTCCACCGTCCCCCTCCAACTGCTCTCCTGCCTCCCGAAGTCCTTTATGCTTCCTAAAAGCATGAGGTTTGTAGGCACTGGGGAGTCCCTGAATTCTCGTGGGCAGGAGAGGGGCCTAGGATTAGCTTTCATTTTTACTTTGTGTTTGTATTTATTTATTTTGTTTTATTTTTGTTTTGTTTTGTTTTGAGACGGTCTCACTCTGTCGCCCAGGCTGGAGTGCAGTTGCTCGACCATAGCTCACTGCAGCCTTGAAATCCTGGGCTCAAGCCATCCTCCTGCCTCAGCCTTCGGTGTAGCTGGGACTACAGGTGCATGCCACCTTGCCCAGTTTTTTTTATTATTATTTTTTATTTTCAGAATTTTTGTAGAGACAAAGAATGTTGTCCAGGCTGGTCTTAAACTCCTAGTCTCAGGCGATTCTCCCACCTCCGCCTCCCAAAGTGGTGGGATTATAGGTGTGAGCCAGCCTTCTTTTTTTTTTTTTTTTTTTTTTTTTTTTTTTTTTTTTTTTTTTGAGACGGAGTCTCGCTCTGTCGCCCAGACTGGAGTGCAGTGGCGCGATCTCGGCTCACTGCAAGCTCCGCCTCCCGGGTTCACGCCATTCTCCTGCCTCAGCCTCCGGAGTAGCTGGGACTACAGGCGCCCGCCACCACGCCCGGCTAATTTCTTTTTGTATTTTTAGTAGAGACGGGGTTTCACCGTGTTAGCCAGGATGGTCTCGATCTCCTGACCTCGTGATCCGCCCGCCTCGGCCTCCCAAAGTGCTGGGATTACAGGCTTGAGCCACCGCGCCCGGCCGCCTTCATTTTTTAGAACGAATCTTGGGTCTAGGCTATGCTGTCCAGTAGAACTCACCAAGGTCTAGGCCGCACTGTCCAGCAGAACTTCTTGCAATGATGTAAATGTCCTATAATCTGTGCTGTTCCATAGGGTAGCCATTAGGAACCTGTGGCTATTGAGTGGTTGAAATGTGGCCAGCGTGACTGAGGAACTGAATGTTAAGTTTTATTTTATTTATTTATTTTTTTGAGATGGAGTCTTGCTCTGTCGCCCAGGCTGGAGTGCAGTGCTGTGATCTCGGCTCACTGCAACCTTTGCCTCCCAGGTTCAAGCAGTTCTCCTGCCTCAGCCTCCTGAGTAGCTGGGATTACAGGCACCTGCCACCATGCCTGGCTAATTTTTGTATTTTTATTAGCGACGGGGGTTTCACCATGTTGGTCAGGTTGGTCTCAAACTCCTAATCTTGTGATCCACCCGCCTCGGCCTCCCAAAGTGCTGGGATTACAGGTGTGAGCCACCGCACCCGGCAAATTTTATTTTAATAAGTTAAATAGCCACATGTGGCTAGTGGCTACTGTATTGGACAGCACAGAGAGTCTTGCTGCTGGAAGTATAACCTGAAGATGTGCAGTCTCAGCCCCTGCAACATCTTGGGTTCCTCTAGGAGATGCCCTAGGGAAGCTTGTTGGAAATGCAAAAATTAGGCCGGGCGTGGTGGCTCACACCTTTAATCCCAGCACTTTGGGAGGCTGAGGCGGGTGGGTCACTTGAGGTCAGGACTTTGAAAACAGCCTGGCCAACATGACAAAACCCCATCTCTACTAAAAATACAAAAATTAGCCGGGCATGGTGGCAGGCATCTGTAATTTCAACTACTCAGGAGGCTGAGGCGGGAGAATAGCTTGAACTTGGGAGGCACAGATTGCAGTGAGCAGAGATTGCACCACTGCACTCCAGCCTGGGTGACAGAGCAAGACTCCATCTCAAAAAAAAAAAAAAAAGAAAAGAAAAAAAAAGTAAACATTCTCAGTTGACCTGGGACCTTCTGAATCGGAATTAGATTGCTGGGAATGGGAGCCAGAGTTTCTGTGTTTCTACAAACTCTGCAGGCGATTTCTAGGCAGCTGAAGGTTCAGAAGCTCTGGTCTAGAGGAACTGTGTGGGAATCAAAGGTTTGGGCAGGCAGAATTTGGCAGAATCTATCGCAGCTGTCCAGGCGAGAGGTGATGGTTGCATGACCTTGGGTAGAGGTCATGACTGGGGAGAGGAACAGATGAACTTCAGAGATGTTTAGGGGGCAGTAGTGTCAGAGATGTTTGAACCAGAGCAACTCCATCTTGAATAGCAGCTGAATAAAATAAGACTGAGACCTACTGGACTGCATTCCCAGATGGTGAAGGCATTCTTCTTTTTTGAGACAGGGTCTCTCTCTGTCACCCAGACAGGAGTGCAGTGACTCGATCTCAGCTCACTGCAACCTCCATCTCCTGCCTCAGCCTCCTGAGAAGCTGGGATTACAGGGGAAAGGCTTATCAGAAACTCAAAGAATACGACCATTTGTCTCTCACCTTCCTGTGACCTAGAGCCCTCTCCCTAGTTTGAGTTGTCCCTGCCTTTCTAGACGAAACCAATGTACATCTTACATATATGGATTGATGTCTCATGTCTCCCTAAAATGTATAAAACCAAGCTGTGCCCCGACCACCTTGGATACATGTCTCCAGGACCTCCTGAGGCTGTGTCACGGGCGTGCATCCTCAACCTTGGCAAAATAAACTCTCTAAATTAACTGAGACCCGTCTCAGATTTTCTGGGTTTATGGGATGAAGAGTAGAATGAACCCTCTAGCATTAGAGGAGAGTGGGAGATATTAGAGTAAACTCATGGTTTTTTGTTATGTTTTGTTTGGTTTTTTTTTGAGACCGAGTCTTGCTCTGTCGCCCAGGCTGGAGTGCAGTGGCGCGATCTCGGCTCACTGCAAGCTCCACCTCCCAGGTTCACACCATTCTCCTGCCTCAGCCTCCCCAGCAGCTGGGATTACAGGCGCCCACCGCCACACCCGGCTAATTATTATTATTATTATTATTATTTTGTATTTTTAGTAGAGACAGGGTTTCACCATGTTAGCCAGGGTGGTCTCGATCTCCTGACCTCGTGATCCACCCGCCTCAGCCTCCCAAAGTGCTGGGATTACAGACGTGAGCCACCGCGCCTGGCCAACTCATGGATTTTAACATAAATAGATGGGAAGATATATAAGTAGACATACATATATGTGTGTGTATTTGTGAATTTCCTAGCTTTGTCTGCCAAAATGACCTAAACACAGTAACACTGCAGTAGTAATCACCACACTGGGCATCCGGATCTTGTTCTAAAACTGCATTCTTGCTGGGTGTGGTGGCTCATGCGTGTAATTCTAGCACTTTGGGAGGCCGAGGTGGGCAGATCACTTGAGGTCAGGAGTTCAAGACCAGCCTGGCCAACATGGAGAAACCCCGTCTCTACTGAAAATACAAAAATTAGCTAGGAGTGGTAGCGTGCACCTGTAATCTGGCTACTCGGGAGGCTGAGGCAGGAGAATCGCTTGTACCTGGGAGGCGGAGGTTGCAGTGAGCAGAGACTGCACCACAGCACTCCAGCCTGGGCAACAGAGCGAGACTCTGTCTCTAAAAAAAATAACTGAAATTCTTGGGGCAGGAAAAGTATGAGATATGCCCGAAACATCTTGAAATATCCCAAAATGCGAGCCTTCTCTAGTTTTTCTCCTCCCTGACCCAGAAACCTGTTCTAGCCTTGGGGCTGGAAGGCCTTTCTCTGACTCATCAAGTTTTATTTATTTTTTTCCTCTAATCCTTTATTCCCCTCAAGTCTTAAGTTTTTGGAGCCTCAAAGCCTTTTCTGTGTCTTTTGCTGAAAATGACCCTCTCAGTCCGGGCAGTGGATATCAAGCTTCCCCTCCCCTCCGAGTCCAGCTCCTGCCAAAGTGATGGGGGGAGCTTGGGGACTTGGGGAAGAGAAAACAGTTTGGGGTGGGAGATGTATTAAAAGAATCCATTGGCTGGGTGCAGTGGCTCACACCTGTAATCCCAGCCCTTTGGGAGGCCAAGGCTGGAGGATCGCTTTGAACCCAGGAGTTTGAGACCAGCCTGGGCAACATAGCAAGACCCCATCTCTACAAAAAACTTCAAAAATTGCCTGAGTGTGGTGGTATGTGCCTGTGGTCCCAACTACTCAGGAGGCTGAGGTGGATTGCTTGAACCCAGGAGGTTGAGGCTGCAGTGAGCTAGGATTGTGCCACTGCACTGTAGCCTGAGCAACAGAGCAGACCCTGTCTCCAAAAAAACAAAACAAAAAACAACAAAAAAACCCTCCCACACACACAACAAAAACCAACCCCAAGTGGTTTAAATATTAGGAGTTTGGTATTTTTCTCACAGCAAGAAGGCCAGTGGTCAGCAGCACAGGGGCCAGCCCAGGGGCCCACTGATCTCACAAGGACCCTGGTGCCCACCTCTCACTTACCACACTGTGTGTTTGCACTGTTGGCTCCTTCTGGTCACAAATGGTGGCAGCAGCTTGAACATTTCTTGCATCCTTACATTCAAAGCCCAAGGCAGGCCAGGTGCGGAGGCTCATGCCTGTAATCCCAGTACTTTGGGAGGCCGAGGTGGGTGGATCAGTTGAAGTCAGGAGTTCGAGACCAGCCTGGCCAACATGGTGAAAACCTGTCGCTACTAAAAATACAAAAATTATCTGGGCATGGTGGTGGGCGCCTGTAGTCCCAGCTACTCGGGAGACCGAGGCAGGAGAATTGCTTGAACCTGGGAGGTGGAAGTTGCAGTGAGCCAGGATCGTGCCATTGCACTCCAGACTGGCGACAGAGCAAGTCCACCTCAAATAATAAAAACAAACAAAACAAAGCCCAAGGCAGGCTAGGAACGGCAGGAGCTTTTCCTTGTTTCTCCTTCCCTCCCTCCCTCACTCTCTCCC